TCACTGAGGAATCCCATCTGCACACACTGATGCCCGAATGCCAGGCAGACCACTCGGAGATGCCCAAGTGGCGTCAGTGCTGGTGAGCACGACTGCAAGTGAGCTAAATTAATTTTCAATTAAAATAAAAGTCGCCTTCTCCCTCCGAAGGCCTCACGCCATCGATCGCTCGTTCAACCCCCAGCAGGGAGCTGTGAGCCTCCTTCCCCTCAAACGCAGGTCCCCCGAGAGGCTGAGCAGCAGTGGGTGGCTTCCCCTGGAGGACGCCATCTGCGCCAGAATGACATCCCTGCCGAGGGGGGAAGATCCCACGCTCCGTGGAGCGTCCCATCCATCACGCTCGCGTGGCTTGCGAGCTTAAAAAGGACACAGAAAAAGAGCGAGCGAGAACAGACGCACCCACACGTCTGCATTTCTGAGAGGAAAGCAACGCTTGCTCCAGGAATTCGTTGTACATCAGTTTATGAGGTTTTTACAGAACACCCCCAGCTCAGCTCGACTGCTGTTGGTGACGAACCACCCTGCACCACCAGCAGAAGACCCCGGGCGCTGCAACTGATCTTCTCCATGTAATTTGTTCACCCTAAGGCACCACGGGTGGTTATTTTACTGCTCAAACCGGCAAATTAATACCTGAGGTATCAAACCAAACGCCTGCCTCTGACAGCTCTTTTTATGGCAGGTTTCACACCAAGAAATCTCCTCCTCGGGGACCACCAGCTTGGACCAGCACGAGACAAAGCAGGGCTGCAGCCTTTTCTGTCCTGCCCACCTGCACTGGGTGCTCTGACCTCTAAAGAGACAACCAACACCTTTTCCCCTCCAAAGTTGTTGTTCCCAAATATTCATCTGCACATCCAACAGCCACGAGCAGAGCAGGAGAGCAGAGAAAGGCAGTTTGGAGGGAGTCAGCGATCTGTTTTCCTTCCTTTTTGAAACACCAGCAGCAGGAAACGGCAAGGAGAGCGTGTCCCAGCAGAAGAGCCACCTCCTTCACGTACCATCGCAGGGACACTGTCCAAAACCAGCCGGGTGACGACAGCCTCTCTCCAACCCCCTCGGACGGCAGCGACGCTTTGAACCCTGGACCGCACGCGCCGAGCGGCTCCTGCACAAAAAACGCCCGGCCCGGCCCGGCCGCATGCGAGCGTCGCGTGCTCCGACGTTCGCTTCCCCATCGAAACGGGGAAATATTTCCTGTGCTGGGACTGCTGGTGCCAGGGGCGCGCGTCAGCCTCCTGCCGCTCGCAGGGACCGGGGAGGGAAGAAGCGAATTCGCACTCTGTGTGAATTCAGCAGCACACGAACATGAAAAGCTGAGCAATTCAGTACCAGGGCTGTTCATGCGGTGCTCAGCCTGTCCCCTTGGGCTGCTGCCTGCGCTGCACCGGGGTCTGGGGGAGACAGAGCTGCGAGGAGGGGGCTGCTGCGGATTTGGGTGCGTTACGCACCCCTCTTGCCCAGCACCACGTCTGGGATGGCGGCAGCGGCAGCTCAGCCGTGACAGCTCCTTCACTGCGTCCTGGGAAGGCCGGCAGCCCAAACTGAGGAGTTACACGTCTGCTAAAACCCCACGGACTATAACACTTCACCTCGAGCTCGAAAAATGCCTTGAAAAGCTACAAGTCACACCAGTCCCCCCAAGCTGTGTTTATTCAGCAAACAGCCCTGGCTCCAGTTAGAAATCCTACCGGCTACCTTGCCCCACGTGAAAACAAAACCCTGACTACTCGAGGTGCAAACTGCAGGATCCGGCCAGCAGCTCTCCACTGAGGAGGTGATTTGTAATGTGGGCTCAGACCTCGAATTTGGATTTGTTTGGTTGGAACTTTGGGGACTTGGACAGGAAAATAATTGGGTGCATCTCAGTTGTGCTTCCCACCGGATTCGCTCCAGCAAACAGCGATGAGAAAGCTGGGCAGGGACAGGTGGGAATTAAAGCATTTGAAAGATGTGTTTAATTCTCAAACCTGTTCTACTTCCAGAAAGCAGGATTTTCTCTTGCTTTAAATGCAGGATATCAAAATTCATGGGTCTGAGACGATTTCTAAAAATGCCAAGTCCCTTTTTAAGTTTCTGAACCAGTGCTGATAACGGTTTAAATGATATGCTAGCTTGTACCTGCAAAGAAAAAGGCTCCAGCAGGCCTTGAGCTGGGCTGCATTAAAAAAAATAAAGATCACCAGATTGGTAAAACAGAGACTTTTTAGCAGTTTGCTCAGAAAGGAGGGTGCCCAGGAGGGATTTGTTAAGCACCGCTCACACCACATGAGAGGGGACTGGAGGGGCTGTAAGGAACCCACGGGAAGAGATTACATACGGATTAGGAAAGCACATAAAGCACTGGGAGGCTGCGGGGCCGTAATAAACCCCTGACCCTGCACGGGTGGAGCAGCATTTACAGCTGCCCTGTGCCACCCTGACCCCAAATTACCTGGTCAGGACCCCCACAGCCCCTCCACATCATCCGAGCTGTGGACGCAGGTTAACTCCTGTCTAAACACAACTTTCCACACGCGAGCCCCCAGCACCGACCGGCGCACAGCCGGAGCAACCCGGGAGTAAGGACGCAGCAAAGCAGCGGCGAGGAGGTCGCAGTAGTAACTCCTACCTGGCACCGTCCTGCCTTCTCCCAGCCTCGCAGCGTGAGGTGGCCGGGGTGACAGCCAAAACAACAGAGGAAACAAAACCCGAGTGTTCCAAACCTGGGCACCTTTCACTTCAAATGAGCTCCGAGAGAGTTCCCTTCGGAGGGGAAAATAAAGACCGCAAGTGAAGCAGAACAAATCTTCCCGGCCGGGCAGAGCGCTTCATCCAGACACACACGGAGCAGGGAAGCCCAGGAGAGGGCAGGGACACCCGCACACGGGATCGCACCAAACCCCGCTCCCTCCAGAGCCCTGGCACCAGTTATTTATTTGCGGGGAGACCATTTACGTGCCGAGGGTGCAAACCTGGCAAGACCTGGAGGGCTCCTCC